AGAACACTGGGACTCTGTGAGATGGACTGTACCCAAAGGCACTGCAAAATGTACCCTCATTTCCAAAGGATGCAATCTTGACGTTGAGTAGAGAAAGCAACTGAGTAAAACCAGCTGCTTTGACTTAAGTTTCCTTGGGAGGAAAAAGCAAGTTTCAAAAAGCTTTGGGGAATTAAAAAATGAGACAGGGAATTTTTTTTCTCTCTACTAAGTAAGTTTTATGCTTCCCGCACACTTACAGGTCGTCCTCAACTTATGAGTACAGTTGGGACCAGCATTCCCATTGCTAAGCAAGGCTGAATGAATGGTGCCCAATTTTACATATAAAAGGTAAAGGTTCCCCTTGCACATGTGTGCTAGTCATTCCCGACTCTAGGGGGCGGTGCTCATCTCCATTTCAAAGCCGAAGAACCAGCGCTGTCCAAAGGCGGCTCCATGTGGTTATGTGCCCGGCATGATTAAATACTAAAGGCACACGGAACACTGTTATCTTCCCACCAAAGGTGGTTCCTATTTTTCTACTTGCATTTTTTTACATGCTTTTGAACTGCTAGGTTGGCAGAAGCAGGGACAAGTAACGGGAGCTCACTCCGTTATGCGGCGCTAGAGATTCGAACCACCAAACTGCTGATGTTTCTGATCAACAAGCTCAGCGTCTTAGCCACTGACCCACCTCGTCCCTTGATTTTACATATATAATAACTGCAGTCATTAAGTGAATCAGGCTTTTCCCATTGATGTTTTTTTTTTGTTGGATACTTGCTGGGAAGATCACAAATGGTGATCATGTGGCATTCAACCGGTTTGGACCAGTTCAGGCGAACCGGTAGCAGAGATCGCGGGTGGGCCCGCCTTGGCTCTATGCCGTCCTATTTAGCTATGTTTTTGAGGCAGGGTGCATGCCTGGAAGACGCGTGTGTGAGCAAAGCACATGGGTGGAAGGATGGATTCATGCACGGAAGGCGCATGTGCGCAAAGTGAGCATGCACATGTGCTGCAAACCGGTGGCAAAAATAAATGAAACCCATCACTGATCACATGATCCTGGGATTTTGCAACTGTCATAAATCCATGCCAGTTGCCTGAATCATATGACTGTGTTGGTTGTTAAGTGCACGGACTGGTTGTAAATCCCTTTCTTCAGTGCTGCTGTAACTTCAAACAGTCACTAAACAAATGGTTGTATGTTGAGGACTATCAGCATCCAATTCCTCTGCATTCTGAAAACAGTATTAGCTTCTCTGCTGCTTAACAGACAAACAGTTGTTGTTCTGCCGCCTTGCTTGGCAACCATTGTGGTCCCTCAGGTGTTGCACCCACCGTCCCCTTGACCAGATAGATGCACTTACCTCTGAACTGGACCCCTCCAGCTGTGCTGGTTGTCCACCAACCTTCAGCCATTTGCTCACCGTGTAGCTGTTCCCAAACCTCACTTTCCCCCTGCAATGAACCACCAGGCTGGGTTATAGCACAGTGATGAATTTAGGAAGCGTCTCTCAGTTACCAAGGAAATTGACCCCCATCTCTGTATGACTGACAATGTCAGTTTTTCAAATTATTCAACATTAGATGCATCAATATGAGAAAGGAAGAGAAAAGAAAGCATCCCCAAGTTATACACTTAATCCCACGGTGTCTTGCCCTCTTGTCCAGTTAGGCTCACCTGGTTGATCCTTCAATCCCGTCTCCTGTTAGAAGGAAAAACAAGCAAAAAAAGAAAATTATAGCAAAACAGAAGAGACGAAAGGATTTCTTTATCTGCATAGAACGATCTTTTTTTTTTCTGGTGAGAGAGAAAAAGCAGAGCAGATTATTGGAATTTCCCCTGACCGGTGACCTAGTTATAAGTGATGATCTATGCCTACCTTTGGGAGTCTGAGTTCTCTTTCTGAAGACGAGGCAGCCAAGCAAAAACAAGTTGGAAACGAGCAGAAATCCTCCTAGACCACCGAGGAGCACAACAACGGGAAGTGGCAAGATGGAACTTTCTAGGGGAAGAAAGATTTGAAAAGTCAAAGCCGATAAAATGAGCTTTCTTCCCTCTTATCATTTTTGCCACAAATAAGAAAAGAACCCAGCATCAACTCCTTATTCTCATAGAATTGCAATGTGTCAGCTAAGGGTGGTATTCACTTACGTTCCCTACCGGTTCGCAAATGTGAGCGAGCACGCTTTTTGGGGGGGAGGGAAAAGGGCCTAAATGAGATGCCATAGAGCTGGAGTGGGTGGGTGGGCGCCATGTCAGGTGTGCCTCATTCAGTATCCAAGAAAGAAAGAAAAACCAACTCCATTTGAATAGAGATAAAGGTACTTTTACTGGAGGTGAAATGAAAACAGCTAAAGTGAAGCGAGATCTGAAGCAAAAAGGAATTTACCTGCCTCGGAGTTCATACAGAGTACAGAATAAGAGAGTTGGAAGGGACCTTGGAGTTCTTTTAGTCCAACCCCCTGCTCAGGCAGGAAACCCTATACCATTTCAGACCAATGGCTTTCCAAGAGAGACAAGGTGGTGCAGTGGTTAAATGCAGCACTGCAGGCTACTTCAGCTGACTGCAGTTCTGCAGTTCGGCTGTTCAAATCTCACCGGCTCAAGGTTGGCTCAGCCTTCCATCCTTCCCAGGTGGGTAAAATGAGGACCCTGATTGTTGGGGCGATATGCTGACTCTGTAAACCGCTTAGAGAGGGCTGTAAAAGCACTATGAAGCGGTATATAAGTCTAACTGCTATTGCTATTGCTATTCTGAAGGCCATTTGCTCCACTGATTAATGTTTCTCACTGTCAGGAAATTTCTCCTTAATTCCAGGTTGCTTTTCTCCTTGATGAGTTTCTGTCCTTTGCCTCTTGTCGTGCCTTGAGGTGCTTTGGAGAATAGCTTGACCCCCCTCTTCTCTGTGGCAGCCCCTCAGATATTGGAAGACTGCTACCATGTCACCCCTGGTCCTTCTTTTAATTAGACGAGATATAGTTAAATAGGTGGTGATAGACTCCTCGATTTCACCCATTTTTTTCCTATCCATCCAGCCTTGTCATTCCAGAATGTCACAAATAGAGAAAAAGAGAACAGGACTGTAAAAGGTAGGCTTATTTTGCTACGGGGGTATTACTTGCAACCTCGCAACATTTAATTCCTTATTACATCACTCACAAATATTGTGGGCATCTATAAATAATGTCCCCAGCTTATCAAATGGAGTAGCATGGACAGCTTTGGTATTTTTTGACAATATGAAATCAGCAAGTATTTACAGCGTAAGAAGAAGCATCAACGGCTCCCACATCTACCTTCTAATCTAATAGCAGGGACTAATAAAAATAGCGGCTATGTTAACCAAGATACCATGGCCATATTTATCATAAAAGGCAGCAGGATTTAAAGAGAATAGATCACCTGGTTCGGATGGGAAGGGAATCTCCGGCTCCTTGTCAACTGGTATTTCTATTCTCTCTGGAAAGAAATATGGAAAATTATGACAGGGTATTATTCAAATTCTAACAGCGTCGGTTAGCAGACGAGTTGCTTGATAAAGAGATTGGGTTCACCGTGCTATGCTTCTTGGTACACTTTTTTTTTTTTAGTTTCACTTCCCTTTTTTTACTTCCTTATAGGAAGGCTCAGAAAGCATAAACAGAATCTTGTGCCTTTAGGGGAAATGAACAGAAAGTGCAAGGAACATTCACCAATTACTCAAACAATGTGGATTTTTTTTTTCGCCCCTGAACTTTTCAATATTGTGAAAAACAAGTTTATATAACCACCTCCTCCGTGTGACCATGTGGTTCCTCCCTCCTGCTTTTCCCTAGAAGAATAACCCCGTGAAATAAGTAGAGCTGAGAAGAATGATTTTGGCCCATGGACCAAGTTACTCAGTGAGTTTCCATGACTGAGTGTAAACTAGAGCTACGTCTCCCCTACTCCTGGTCCAGGATTTCACCTTTACATCACATGTGCTCTTGTTTTTTTTAAATTAATTTATTTATATCCTGCCTTCATTTTATTTTTTTATAAACGACTCAAGGCAGAGAAAATATCTAATTTGTTTGTGTGTTTGTATCCCGCAACACACAATCGTCCTCCTATTTTCCTCACAACAACAATCCTATGAGGAGAAATACACTGAGACTGAGAGAAAACAATTTGCCCACTTAGTTTTCATGGCTAAGGCAGGATTAGAACTCACTGTCTTCTCCTTTGGAGCCTTAACCACTAGACCAAACTGGCTCTTTCTTTCTCCTATTTTCCCCACAATAACAACCCTCGTGAGGTGAGTTGGGCTGAGAGGGACAGCCTGGTTCACTCAGGGAGCTTATGTTGATGAGAACAGTCTAGAAACTGGGCCTCTCTATTGCCAATTCAACAACACTTCCATCACTCCACCTGACTGATTGTCTTATCTCCGCATTGTGTTCAGTGGTGGGTTCCGGATGAACAGTCCCGGTGTCACCCACATGGAGGTGCTAGGCGCGCGCATGCGCCATATTTGCCTACGATGCTTCCGCAAGCCTCTGTGACGCTCCAGCTGCTTGGCGGAGTGTCGCGCAGGCGCCATATGCACTATATATGTGCACAGAAGCGCCAAAGGCTTAAAGCACAGGTAAGGAGCTCAGACGGGCGGGTGGGCCCTCCGGACCACCGTACCAGAACGGTACCCAGAATCCAGTATGCCCATACTGAGGCGTACCACCTGCAACCCACCACTGATTGTGTTTAATCCAGATATGATTCCTGTTATGTATTGTATATAGTTGTCAGTTGAAGTTCTCAGTCTGGTCCTCTGTTGAAGCGGGAAAATCCTCCCTCCTGATTGGTTGTGGGCTGATCAGCTTTCCTATAAAAGGAGCTGCGTCAGCCAGGGAGCAACAGTTGCCTCACAGACAGTCTTGAATAAAGAGCTGTCACTCAGGCCTCGCCTCCATTTTTCACGCAGAACATAACAATTCCAAAGATGGTTTTTCTACTTTCTTTATTCTACTCTTCACGTATTCTTTCCCCTTCTAAAAACCTGAGTGGTATATTTAGTTGCCTCCATCTTTATTATCTTTACAACCAGGTCAGAGCTGGTTTCCTACCAGTTCGGACCGGTTCAACCAAACTGGTAGTGGTTTGGTGGCCTGGGTCGCTGAAACCGGCAGTGACCCAGGCCTGCCACACCCCCAAACTGGTTCTCCTACGGGGCTGCCATCTCGATTTATGTTTCTGCGCATATGCAGAACAATTGTAATTGCACAAATTTTTTTTTTTTAATTTTGTGCATGCACAGACCTGTTTTTGTACAACTGCGCATGCGCATGGGTCAAAAATTTTGCACGTACTGAACCGGAAGTAATGCCGGGAGCAACCCACCCCTGAACCAGGTATGCTAAGCTGAGAGACTAGCTGGTTCAAACTCGCTTTTGGAGTTTAGGAGTGGTGGTGGTGGCGCAGTGGTTAGAAGGCAGCATTGCAAGGAAACTCTGCCCACAGCCAGGAGTTCAATTCTTACCAAGCTTGAGTCAGCCTTCCATTCTTTCAAGGTTGGTATAATATGGACCCAGATTGCAGCGGGGCAATATGCTAACATTTGTAAACCTCTGTAAAGCACTATGGAGTGGCATACAAGTCTAAATTATTGCTGTTGCTATTTTGTGAAATTCAGGGCTGACAGAACTTGCATGCCCAGACAATGAGACATAGGCACAGTTTTTTCCCCTCGTGCCATCATTCTGCTGAACATCTAATTCTCACAGGTTCTGTCTAATGCAGTGTTTCTCAACCTTGGCAACTTGAAGATGTCCGGACTTCAACTCCCAGAATTCCCCAGCCAGCACTAGCTGGAAGGGGGAATTTTGGGGTGGAAGACCACTCAATATCTAATTACCAAGGTTGAGAAACACTGCATTAGAC